AAGGTGGGTAAAATGAGGACTCAAATTGTTGGGGGCAATACGCTGACACTGTAAACCATTTAGAGAGGGCTGTAAAGCACTGTGAAGGGGTATATAAGTCTAAGTGCTATTGCTATTGTAGGCAAATTGCATCTTCTTTTAACCTTTTCAAGTATTTTTTTTTAATTTCTGAGGAGTATTTGCTCCATTTATATTCCATGTTAAACATTTATAATCCATAGTAAAGCCAGATTTTTAAAAAAAGACAATATCTGTAGCATCCAGTGTGAAATCCTCTTCAGTGTCTTGTATCTGTTGTAGCATTTGTTTGATCATATCTGTCATTTCCGTTTATATTTGGTTCATTTGTTTGAATTTTTTCCAAAAAAAATCTTGTTTTCTGCATAGAGTTCAGTCTGAACCTCTTGTGTTTAAAAGTAAAAATCAATTCTTCCAACTTATGTAAGTTAGATTTTCTTCTATTTAAGTGTGTCTGGAAAAAAAACTTATTTTCTCTTACATGGTATTCTAATCAGAATTTATTTAAGTACAATTACATCTGTATTATCCATCTTCAATCTAGTATTATAATACTGCTGCAAAACCTGGTCTCTGTTTTTCCTGACTGCGCAATAATGTCCTTTGGATCATTTGGTAATTTGAAAAACATGTATTTATCCTATAAACTTAATTAATTTCTGTGTCAGTGTCATTTTCCTCCCAATCCAATAAACAATATAGAATCTTTACAATCTTTTCTCTATTATATTGTCCATGTTCTTCTGGTATTGCTTTAAGTTTCTTAACTCCAGTAATGTCAACTGGAGTGTTGTACAAATGTTTCTCCATTTCTCTATTGATAATTTCTATCTCTCAAATTCCACTTCAGTATCTTGTTTTGGGTCTTTTTGCATTACAGATTCTTCAATCTTCTTAATTACTTCTTTCATATCTTTTTTAAAATTCCTCTTCTTCCATTTCTGTTTAAAAATCATCCAAACTATTAGCAACCATTGCAATCATTTTTTGCCAAATTCTTCAAACATTTTCTGCAATAAATCTAGTGAAACACCCTTATCCTTACGTTGTTTTAGGAAACCTCTCAATCCTTTGGCAGCCATTAAGGTGTCCATTCTAATATTCTATCACTTCAGAATAATAAATAAGTCCTTCATCCAATCAAAAATCAGAAAAATCAAAATAACCATCATAATAAGAAAGGCATAACTTTAAAAATGCATGCTCTGTTTTTGCTTTGTACTGTACACATACTTTGTCTCTAATATCAGCTGAGATGTGTTGATTGGAAGAAGATGAAGAAACATATTTCTTCCCTTCCTGATTACTTTTCTTTGTATGTATATAGTCCAGAGATAATAACAGTTCAACAAGCTCTCTCTAAATTTAGGCTTTGTAATACCAGTATCTTAAAATACTAATAATCAACTCTCTAAAATATACATATTCATAAAATATTTGACTTTTAATTTTAATCAGAAATTAAACCAGGCTTGTAGTAAAACATTTGGAATGATAAGACAGGAAGAGGAGAATTCTGTTCTCTTGCCATCCTTTTATTGTTAATATTATTATCCTCCCACATAGCGTCATAATGGATTAGGACCAGGGGAGACCAAGGTTCATGTTTATCCTCAGCCAAGAATCTCATTGGAGGATTTGGGACAGTCACTCTATCAATCTGCAAGACAAGAGCAGGCAGGGTTGGGAGGCAGAGTTAAACATATCATCAGTTTAGAATCTTTGTGCTGCCACAAGAGATTTAAATCCAGTCCTTCTAGAATTTCATTAACCCTATTCAGCACTAATTTAGTGCTGCCTGTAAGTTGACCAGATTCCTATGTATAAGTTTGAATAAATATTCTATGCTGCAACTTTACAAACGATCCTGATTCTTTGCACCTGACACAGCCCACACTACTTCTCTCTGGTGTTGTAAGAAAGAATTGAAGGGGGAAATGTGTATGCTGTCTTGAGCTCCTGCAGAAAAAGCGGGATCTAACTCTAACCCATAAATAAAATAAAGCAAGTGTGAAGCAGGGAGGTTGTTAAATAAACAGATCCAACCAATTTGCTTCTGCGTATACTGAGTGTAAGAAAGCAGATATGTTACCTTGCTTGATAATGACTCCAGAAAACTCAAATCTTGCACACTCTTCTGTGTTAATATGTTTGGATCTAATAAAAGTATTTTCCAACCATGGATTTTAATATTTTCTTTCCTCAGGGATCAACACTTTATTATTATTTTTTCAATATAGGCGGGGCTTACTTTGATCATCTGGCAAATCTCCATGTACAGAAAAATCCTTTAGGCTGTGATTATTTTTACATTGACAAATGTGGCTATACCATCAAAAGATTATTATTTCTTCCAGAGAGTCAGCCAACAGTCTCCATGTTCTCAGAAACAGTGTAGCTTAGCTGCTTCATCACATTCTGAATGCATCTCTTGACCCCATTGCTAATGTTTTGCTCCTCTGTGATGTAAACCTTTGAAGAATAATTCAAGAAAGCAATAAGGAATTTTCCATCTAGATTTTTTTTTTGTTTCATTGGAAGAAGCAAGATGATTCTATAAATGGACCACAAACAGATGGGCTCTAAGCTATATTCAATACAATTTAGCAATACAAGAGATTTCCAGACCCGGTCAAAAGTGCTTTGTATATTTTGGGGGAAATGATTTCCCTGTTATACATGCTGGGAAAACTAAGCACTAGCTTCCATTATTTCCCTGGAAATACCTCCCACAGGCATTTGCCTACATAAGAAAAACAATTTCCCACGCACCATTCTGATAGTTTACAGTAAGAAGGCGCCTCGAGCAATGCTCCTGCTGCTTTTCCTAATAGGAAGAAAGCATGGGAAATAGCAGAAAAGTGTGAGATCTGCAGCAACACACTTTGAAGGAGATATTAGTCTGGGAAAAGACCTACAGGTAAAACTTAAGAAATGTAGGCACACAGAGCTCAAGACGTTAACAACGATCACAAAAGCATTAATCAAAAAGAATAATGAACATGTTTTGGAAACTTTTTAGATGCCCGGAATTGACCTTTGAATTACTTATTTATTTATCTTTCTAATTTATATAGCTACCCATCTCATAGTGGGTTACTTGAGATAGCATACAACAAAACAAAAACAATGAATATCTAAAATCATTATCATTGGCAGATAATAGAAATGCTTAAAAGCTATAATAACAGCTAAAATAAGGACAATAGAGGAAGGCAGTTAACAGTAATAGAGCCCCCTCACTAGTTCACGCATCCCCTCAGATCCCCAGACCTGTTGGCATAACCAGGTTTTGAAGGACCATCAGAAGCTTAGAAATACTGAAGCCATCCTCAATTCAGGGCGTGGGGGGGAGAGGAGATTCTACAGTGCAGGGGCCACAGCAGAGAAGGTCCACTGACGAGGGCCCGCTAAATGTAGCTGTCTAGACAACACAACCCATAACATGCCCATTTTATTCATAGTCCATTGTAAGTAATATTCAAAAAACATGTAGACTAAAAAGGATCAAGCAATGAAGCACACTGCACATTTAAACTTTGGTGGCATGCTGTTACATTTAATAAAACTGAAAAATGCCTTTAAAAATATGTTGGTGATTCCCCCAAGGTAAAGGTTCCCCTTATACATATGTGCTAGTCATTCCCAACTCTAGGGGGTGGCGCTCATCTCTGTTTCAAAGCCGAAGCGCCAGCACTGTCCCAAGAGGTCTCTGTGTCATGTGGCTGGCATGACTAAATGTTGAAGGTGCATGGAAAGCTGTTACCTTCCCACCAAAGGTAATTCCTATTTTTTTACTTGCATTTTTTTATGTGCTTTTGAACTGCTAGGTTGGCAGAAGCTGGGACAAGTAACGGGAGCTCACTCCATTACGCTAGGGATTCAAACCGCCAAACTGCCAACCTTTCTGATCGATAAACTCAGTGTCTCAGCCACAGAACCACTGTGTCCCATGTTGATTCACCCAAACTAACCTTTTAATTTCAAGATGAGTTCAAAGACCATGCCCTGCCCTTGCCTGTCATCTAGCAATGAATTATTTGCATTTCATGAATTTAATCTTCCTCTAAATGTCAGTAAACCTGACGTGGAATTAAGTGCTTGGGCAGGTAATGAAATAGTGTATGTGTCATATGTATGTACTTCAACACATACACAGTATTCCTTTCAGGTTAAGCAATGATATAGAAAGCGTAGAAAAAGGCTAGAAACTTGTAAACCAAAGGGCAGGAGGGAAAATTTATTCTCCATCACAATGTGTTGTTTTATAATGCTTGCTCACTTATGTATTTAATCCATATTCATTCATTCATTCATTCATTCATTCATTCATTCATTCATTCATTCATTCATTCATTCATTCATGCATTTACCATCCATTCATTCTTTATCTCTTGTTTTACCACACATTTATTAAGATTTTTTGCCCTTGATGTTTAATTTGCAATTGCTCACTTGGTTTTTCTTGTCAAATACAACTATCTTGTACTTATATAGATATATTAATTTTCATCTTCCCTCTTCTCATTGCATCATTCAACTACCTAACATTCACTAGAAATCATCTGGGTTCTCAGCCAAACCATGGCATAATTGGCATACAAAAGTAAACATCCATATCTTAATCAACATGTCTCTAACATTACCACAACATTGCCTATTCATTCATCATAAATATATATGATAATCAAAGGTATATGACACATCTTTTCTTATTCTATATTCAGTATTGAATCATACACTAAGTATTCTCTTTATTCTCACACATGCTTTACTTCCATCATAATTGTTTTCTCAGTGACATCCTGAAGAGCAAAAAATCTGCTCTTTCCACACTCTTCCTGACATAAAGATGCACTTTATTTGTCAAATTTTGAATATGGTCGCTTCCTATACCCTTTCAATCTGAATTATAACAAATAATTTCCTAGGTGTACATACGATATTTATCTTTCTAATCATGGTCCCATCTTTTCCCTTACCTAGGGGAACAATAATGCCATTCTTCCAATGGTAAGGCACGGATGCACTCTTCACATATACATTGGAAAGCCACACCATAGTGAAATCACATCCATATCCTTTGCCTGTCCCATCGTCTACAGTTGCAGCATTACTATTCTTCAACATCCTTATAACATTTATTTTCATCAATGCAGTTTTGGATGCTAACATTTCAATTCCACAGTGTTTGCTATCATTCCCATATCTCTGTAATGCTTGTTCCAGCATTCATGCTCTTTAGTTTCATCCCAAAACAATTTATCACTTCTATTTCCCCTTACAGCTCCTGTTTTGGAGGCTCCTGGGTTAACCTTCTTTACTCTTCCTAGTTTAACAACAATTATTTATTTTACTAAAAGTTGTTTAGCACTTCCTTAGTTTTTTTAATAGTATCTAATATTCTCACAGACTCTTTGTTTCCATTTTGCCCCTTTCTTTTTCTCTCTCAATACACCTTATATTATATATTTGTTTCACCTTCATTTTGCATGAACCCTTCTCTTGCATTTCTTTCTCAACTCCAGCTACTTCCACTTATACATTCTACCAGGCCAGGCATCCTTTTTTATATACCCCCTACTAGCATAATTTAACACACTTCTATAACATAATTCTTTTCTGTTCCAAACAATTTTCACTTTCTCTTTCTTTTCATCCACTGAGCTTTCTTTTGTTGGGAAATTGATGTATCCTCTAACAGGTTTTAAAACAACAATAATATTTTCTCTTCATATAATCACTTAACTTTGACTGTACTTGTTTTTGACTTCCTTCTTTTCTATATATCTTAAAAAGGAGTCCTTGGCAAGCACAGCTTCTTATTTTGAAATATTTAGAATTTAGACTTGTGGGGGGTTTAAAAACAAGCATTCCTGTTTTCTCTTGGCCAATCTGACTGTTTAGAACTTGGTTTCTGTGGCTGCAATCCTAGGCATGTTACCTGGGAGCAGAGGTGGGCTTCAAAAATTTCAGCAATGGGTTCTCTGCCCAGTTGCTGGGTGGGTGTGGCCACGGTGGGCATGGTGTAGTTGGCCTCCTGCACCACGGCAGGGGTGGATGGGTGTTTTTTCCTTCCCCAAGTTCTGAAGACTTTCCTCAAGCCTCTGGGAGGGCGAAAACTGTTTCCCTCAGGCTCCAGAGGCCCTCCGTGGAGGCCTATTTATCCCCTCCCCTAAGCCATTGCATGGGCCCTGCACTTTGGGCCCTCGCATCCAAAATGGGCTACGTGGAAACTCTGGGGAGGGGGCGTGATGGGAGGGACAGGAGGGGCCAGCCAGAGGTGGGATTTGGAGGTTCTCCAAACTGGCCATATTGTTAGCTATGGGTTCTCCCGAACCCAGGCAAACCATAGCAGCCCCCTCTGCCTGGGAGTAAATCCTACTCTGCAAGGAAGCGGGTGAATGAGTGTCTGACTTCTGAAAAATGGGCTGCCCAGATTGTACATGTTAGAATAGGTATTCTTTGTATAACCTCTATAAAATATTCAGTCTCCTTGCCATGCTCAATATATTGTATGTGCAGTCACACTTTAAAATGTAATATAGTAATATAAAACAATCTTAGGGAAGTGTGTACAATACTATGAATTTGATAGTGGATGAGGACTGGTGCATCCTAGTATTCTTCAAACATCACTGAAAAGCAAGTTGACAGCAGCTCTGGAGGCTAAGCTTTAGCTATACATGCAAATGGATTATTTGGGAACAACTTGGGAAAGCTTTGGAAGAATTCATCAGTAACCACAAGATGTTATCACTGAAGCCACTGTTGCCAACAATGAGCTCATAATTCATTCTATGGCAAATGATCCTGCCTGGAAATTTTGCTTTTCCTTTCCCACCCCCAAAGTTGCTTTCAGTAAATGGACAGCAAGGACAACTAGTCAGCTGCACCTTTTCTGTACGTTTCCCCCCTGACCTCAGTAACTTCCTAGAACTCTCTATTAGCTCACTGAATAAAAAATCAATTACATGTTTCTCCATCTAAATTTTTTTTAATTCATTCATCTATCATTTCCTTTGCCTCTGGGCAGCTCTCAAATTTCATCGTGTGTTCATATTGTCCATAACATCTTGTGCAACAGCCCCACATGTTTCTAAGCATCACGAGCTCAGGCCCACAGCTATTGCATACTTTGGAAGTTTCTCTTATTTGCATTTTGAAACACTATGGAATCCTTTCCGCTTAGCAATTTTCCCCATCCTTCTATATGGGTGATTTCTGTAACAATGGCCATGGTCTCACTCATCAGTCACTGCTGCTGCTGCTGTTTTTCTCCTTTTCCTTGGAAGGTTTTGCATACATGATGGCAGCCTTCAAATCTTCATGATGAATTCAACAAATTAATTAATTTACCCCATTTGTAAGAATAGGACATAGTGGCTATTGCTTGTCTATTTTATTTTTTTTCATTTTATTATTATTTTATTATTTTATTATTTTATTATTTTATTATTTTATTATTTTATTATTTTATTATTTTATTATTTTATTATTTTATTATTT